TAAACTAAGGTGCAGCAAAGTGCTTTAAAATGGGCATTTTAATAAAGTGTGAAGTAATATCGACTGAAACAAGAAGAGAGGGTGAGAGATAGTGTAGCTACTCCCCTTTTAAAAAACAACCAATTTTGTTTTATCACCGCTCTGCTAGTTAAAGTGGTTGAGCTCATCACATGTGAAAAAAAGAGCATCAAATGTGAAATGTCTTGAAGAGCGCAGGCCATGTCAGATACTAGAGAGCAATTGATTGGTTACGATTTAATGAGAAACTAAAGTATAAGGCGAAAAAAAAAGTTGATCCATTTAGGCGGAAGTGACAAACTGCAAGCTTTACATGTTCATATCAATTTTCTATCCTTTAAACACAGATTTTGTCAGTTTTGGTGCATACTTTCTTATAGATTCTTGAAAAAAACTAACAATACTGACACTAACATCTAAATAACTTTGTTTTCATTTGGTGGGACCTTTAAGTGCTCAAACCTGGCAACTTTGAACAGCCTTGCCGAATAACGGATTTTAAAAGGTACAATTGATAGACCTTTGCGCAGGGAGGCTGTTTGGTGTCAAATATCGTGTTTCATTCGGAAAGGCTCATCCCTATGCCTAAACTCCTTCGAAGCTGTCACACTGGAGGGTAAACCCTTCCAAATGGTTTGGGCATAAGGATGAGCCCTTCATACATGATGAAGATCTCACAGAATCAAACAAACATTGAGGATGATCAACAAATTATCAGCTTCTTTTTCAGCATCGGCACCACGGGAGGCCCCAGGGGGCAAAGGCAGTCGGAACAAAAACTGTTTTAAATGGACAGCAGGTGAACAAAGAGTTAGTACATGCGGGAGCGGTTGGGTGCAGAATAAAACCTAGCAGGAAGCTTATGAATATATTCTTAAAAAGACGTTTAGTCAAGTATTAAAAATGGCATTATCCTGTTCAAATTACAGGTCCATTAAGATCTTTTAATTAGTGTATTAGTTTCAAGTTTTTTGTTTGTTTCGAAACTAAGAAGTTCTCCATCAAATTATTATTACTTTTGCAAAACCTGATAACAGCCTGATGAGTGTCATAACTGTTTTTTGCGCATAACAGCAGAAAATAAAGGAAAATGCAGTCAAAATTGAAACATTCAGCATGGTGCGCTGAAACTGAGATAAAATATTTGGTCTAATGTCAGTTAATGTGTATTTTGTTGCTTTATTTTTTTTACCTTGAAGGAGGAATCTGTCTCAGCTTAAACCTAACTATTATTTTGAATCTTTAAACGTTTCCGATAACGGTGTCATATATGTTCAGTCAGATAAGGACTCTAAAGATTGAAATTAATTTTAGAGAATTTATTTTATTTGGAAGTAAATACAATTTAAAATGGCCTAAATACTATTGTATACCAAGCCGTCGGTATCTCCTTGCAGTTTCCTGGCATCAACCCTGTGCTTTCTGGTGAAGTATACTGTGAAGTTAGGAGATTGTTAAAGACATGGTACAAGTTGACCTTCTTTGTTAATACTTTGCTTTACATGACATGTTTATGTTGCATTGTTTCAGTTTGGAGGCTATCTGGTCTGATCAGAAATCTGTTTGATGCTTAGAATTTAAGATCAGGGAGTCTCTAACTTAACTGGGAACAGAAAAAAATAATAAACTGAGTCATTTTTTGGACAAGAAGTCAGTTACAATGAACCATAAATCAGGCCACTTGCACTCCCTATGAGTACAAGTCAGGGCTAAAATTTGGATTAAATCTTTCAGCTTTAAGGTCTTATGGATCAAAACCTGAAGCAACACATAGAACCTCCTTCTAACAGAAATCAGAAAATTCCACTCAAGCAGAATTTAAAAAAAATCCAGATGAGTTTTTTAAAAGTTGGTAGGGATGGGAAGATTAACCGATATGTATCGATACGCGGTCATGCGCGTGCACGATGCGAGTGCATCGGTAGAGCAGCAGAGGATGAATGAAATTTTGGAAGCAAATCGAGATGCATCGGTTTTTGCGAGATGCATCGATTTTTCCGAGATACAGCTTATATTTTTAATATAGAATGTATTTTTTATTTATTAACAAGTGTTGTCAACCTGTTTTTGGCGCATAATTTAATCGACCTACATAAAGTAAGCCTTAGCAACGGATTTGCGGATGTGTACACTTTCACTACAACTCAGTGTATCAGGTGTGCGGATGAAGCTAGTGGTGCGCCCTCAGAAAGCGCGAGAAGCAAAACAAACATATTCCCCACTGAGTTTTAAATCTAAAGTATGGCAAGCAACATTATGGATTTAAGGATGGACGACATGACAGGACAGATGCAATTTGCAAAATGTGCCGCGCATCTGTAAAATACGCGGGCAGTACGACTAATCTGATATCTCACTTGAAGCGGCGCCACGGTGTTGTTGTGGAAGCATCTTCCAGTGTTTCTGCATCCCCGGCTTTCGCACTGCTTCAACCAGTTCCAAAAGTGGTGAGAAAAGCATTGCAAATTTTTTTTTCCATGCGCAACAGTTCTGCTCGCTCTACGCCAATAACGAATGCTATTGCATTGTTCATCTGCAAAGATATTCAGCCTAGTGTCACGGAGAACGAAGGTTTTAAACACCTCCTCCTGTTAATTTTTATTTAATTATAATAATAATAATAATATTAATAATAATAATGATAAAAATAATTGGGTGTCACGGTGGCACAGTGGGTAGTTTGACCACCTCACAGCAAGAAGATTGCTGGTTTGTTATATTTTTATTAGCCTGTTGTTTACAGTGACAGTGATGTTTCAACGCAGCATAACTGCTAGTTCACGACCGTAAGTTTTGAATAATCAGTGGCAAAATATATCTTTGTAAAACTTGTTTTCATAGTTGAAAAGTTTAATCACAATTCTTGTTGTGCAATGCTAAATTTATTTATGTTGAAAGAGTGCAAATATATACATATTTTTTTAATATATATTGCACTTATACATTCTGTTTATCTTGAAAATACTTAAATAATATGTGCTATATGTTCTAAAATGGCCCTCTACTGTAAACTGACACTCTGGCTCTGAGAGAAGAGCCAGTTTGTAAAAAAAGTCTTGGTTTTGCTTGGTTAATAAATAATCAAACTCATTCAATGGCACAGCATCCTCTTTCACATTATCTCATAAACTTGATCTAATTAGTTAGTGCTGAATTATCGCATCGTATCGTGATATGGGTGTGAATCGTATCGTGTTGCATCGCAATATGTCACAAATGTATCGCTAATATATCGGATCGTATTCTTTGTATCGAGATGCGTATCGGATCGGCATTATAGCTTAGATGCCCAACCCTAGTTCACACGTCTTACTTGCATGTTTCCAGTTTGGTCAATTTTGTAAACTAGTGGAAAGATTTGCTCAAGATAGGTTTGATAGATTCTCAGCAAAGATACAGCTAGCAGACTGAAGAGGAAATACAAGGCAACCACAGATGCTTCACGATAAACTGTCTTTAACGTGATGTGTGTGAAACTAAGGCCGTTTGCTGTAGGTGAGAAAATAAGTAATATTTAATACCACATTTAAACATGTATGCTGGTATTTTTTTTTTTTGAAGATAGGATGTACAAATTTCAGATAAGTATATATATATATATATATATATATATATATATATATATATATATATATATATATATATATATATATCGCCATAGCGGAATGAACCGCCAACTTATCCAGCAAGTTTTTATGCAGCGGATGCCCTTCCAGCTGCAACCCATCTCTGGGAAACATCCACACACACATTCACACACACACTCATACACTATGGACAATTTAGCCTACCCAATTCACCTGTACCACATGTCTTTGGACTGTGGGGGAAACCGGAGCACCCGGAGGAAACCCACGCAAAGGCAGGGAGAACATGCAAACTCCACACAGAAACGCCAACTGAGCTGAGGTTCGAACCAGTGATCCGGCGACCTTCTTGCTGTGAGGCGACAGCACTACCTACTGCTTTATAAATTTTACTGCTGGGAATAAATTTTTTCCTTTTTTAAATATTTTCTAAATGATGTCGAACAGAGCAAGGAAATTTTCACAGTATGCCTGATAATATTTTTTTTTCTGGAGAAAGTCTTATTTCTTTTATTTCAGCTGGAATTAAAGCAGTTTTAAAATTTTAAAAAACCATTTTAGGGACAAAATTATTAGCCCCTTTAAGCTAACTTTTTTTTTGATAGTTTACAGAACAAACCATCATTACATCATATATAATAAATTATGTATATTTTTAATTTATTTTTAAATTATTTACTACTACTACTACTACTACAATGGGGGGATGGGGGGTTGGGGGGGCACAGTTGACACAGACACAGTTGTTGTTTAATTTTATTGGTGGTTTATATATATATATATATATATATATATATATATATATTCTGTTAGTGTGTCTTATTTAATCTGATTAAAAATTATTTGAAACACTTGTCCAAACAAAGCCTTTAATTTTTTATTTCTTTTCATGTGCTAAACTGGTTGAATATGCATTAATTATTTGTATTTTTTTCTTAACATTCTTAGCTATTTAGCCATTTTACAATTTTTCATATATAAGAAAACAATTTGCGTTCTATATTTAAAGTCCCTCCTTGTTCGTTCTACAAACACACACACACACACACACACACACACACACACACACACACACACACACACACACACACACACACACACACACACACACACACACACACACACACACACACACACACATGCACACACACAAATTCAAACAAAGATGCGTCTAACAAATGACCAGACATGAACAACTCTCTTTTCAGGTAATATAATAAAAAAAATAAAAAAAAAAAACTATATATATATATATATATATATATATATATATATATATAATATATATATATATATATATATATATATATATATATATATATATATATATATATATATATATACATTATATTTAAATATGTAATATATACATGAATTGAATATTTGATACAGAAAAATGATGTTTTGAGAAAATACTCTTTTTGTTGCGTTCTGTCATTAATTACGTGATTAAATACTTGTATTCTTTACAAAGTCAATTTCTCCTGTACGCAAAATACTTTGTTTAGGAATATAATTAATGTGTTTTTACAGGTGAAATTCATAACTTTTCCATGCCAGAATGGTAGCCGACGGAGTCTCAAAAGTTGTAGTTAGAGTGAATTCACAGGTGACACAAGACAGCTTTATTTTTGTTAATGGACAGGAAGCAGCAGAAACACCCCACACTTTGATTCTTAAAGAATTTTTCAAAATACAACCAAAGGCATTGGGGGTAAGACATTTAATGATCAATTATGATGATATATGGTTCTAAAGATGTATGTTATGCCATTATGAATAAAACATCTGACCTTTGCTGTTTAGATTGTCCAAATAATGACTGGAGTGATGGTCTTCTTTCTGGGTGTTGTTCTCACCACCAGTGGCTACGGTTATCCCGCTATTCTGGTCTACAGTGGCATCACCTACTGGGGATCCTTTATTGTAAGTTTCATATAAAAGTTTGCCTTATATTGCCTTATATTTAATATCCAGAACAAACTTTCTCTCTGTAAACTTTTGTTTCTTTCTCAGTACATCAGTGCTGGATCTCTGTCGATTGCTGCGCAGTATAAATATCAGTTGTTTTTGGTATGTATATGATACCCACATATTTCAACATACATATTTCTTATGTATTTGTGGTCAGTATTTGTAACTGTAACACTTTGGAATTTAATAATTTACATTACCATAGTACACATAAAATTGTTTTAGATTGTTAAAAATGTCAATAAAAATCACTTTGTTAACTTTTTTAACAAGAAAAAAATGTTGAAACTGAGATCAAAGTCTCACAATTTAAATTGAAACCGTAAATAAATAATATTTTTCTTTACCGTGAATGTATGGTTGTAACACTTTTTGCTTTAAAACTGTCTTAAAACAAGACAAAATAAAAAAAATTAAAAAATCCAGTGACAACTAAATTTTCTGTTTACACCAAGAAGTAAAAAGAGCTTAAGAGCTCTCTTTGCTAGTTCACCGCACATGGGATATCCAAAAATCTAATTCATAAAACATTTTACACATTCACAAAATCTGAAACAGAAAATGATTGAAGGAAAAAATGTGTATCATTGAATAGTATGACTGAAACTAAATAAACAATATAAATAAATAAATAAATATAAATAAATAAATATATTTACAAACATTTCATAAGTAAACAAAATATATTGGGTAATGGGCTTAACGTTATGAGGACCTTACTGTGAATTTCTGTGGGAACTGTTATTGTGTGGGCCATTAAAACTGTAGTGTCACAGAAATACAAATCATTTCTAATACATAATTTTGCCTCTACTATAGCCTCATATTGTATGTACTGTATATGGCTCATTCTCAACACACCCCTTTCCGTTTGCTCAGACAAAATGGTTTTAGATATCTGATGTTTTTGTTACTTTAAGTTAAAAGTTTTAGGTATGTTTGTAAAAGTTTCTTCAATGATCTGTTTTTGGGTGAAGTTTGTTCTCAGTTTTCTAACTCGTAGTATATTCTGTTATTGTAGATGAAGGCCTCCCTTGGAATAAATGTGTTCAGTGCCATATCTGCAGGAATCAGCATTCTTCTGATGTCCATACAAATATTCATACTATCTACAATGGATCCAAGTTTATACGTTGAGGTATTAGAGTACATGCACAGTATATAATATTGTATGTATGTGCGTTGTTTTAGCACATAACCTGTCATAAATCCATCATAAACATGATTGTCACAAGGTCAATGTAATTCATTATAATCATTATAACAGCTTCATTAATTCTTGACCTCAACTATTGGTACTAGGGATGGGAAGATTAACCGATATGTATCGATACGCGGTCATGCGCGTGCACGATGCGAGTGCATCGGTAGAGCAGCAGAGGATGAATGAAATTTTGGAAGCAAATCGAGATGCATCGGTTTTTGCGAGATGCATCGATTTTTCCGAGATACAGCTTATATTTTTAATATAGAATGTATTTTTTATTTATTAACAAGTGTTGTCAACCTGTTTTTGGCGCATAATTTAATCGACCTACATAAAGTAAGCCTTAGCAACGGATTTGCGGATGTGTACACTTTCACTACAACTCTGTATCAGGTGTGCGGATGAAGCTAGTGGTGCGCCCTCAGAAAGCGCGAGAAGCAAAACAAACATATTCCCCACTGAGTTTTAAATCTAAAGTATGGCAAGCAACATTATGGATTTAAGGATGGACGACATGACAGGACAGATGCAATTTGCAAAATGTGCCGCGCATCTGTAAAATATGCGGGCAGTACGACTAATCTGATATCTCACTTGAAGCGGCGCCACGGTGTTGTTGTGGAAGCATCTTCCAGTGTTTCTGCATCCCCGGCTTTCGCACTGCTTCAACCAGTTCCAAAAGTGGTGAGAAAAGCATTGCAAGTTTTTTTTTCCATGCGCAACAGTTCTGCTCGCTCTACGCCAATAACGAATGCTATTGCATTGTTCATCTGCAAAGATATTCAGCCTAGTGTCACGGAGAACGAAGGTTTTAAACACCTCCTCCTGTTAATTTTTATTTAATTATAATAATAATAATAATATTAATAATAATAATGATAAAAATAATTGGGTGTCACGGTGGCACAGTGGGTAGTTTGACCACCTCACAGCAAGAAGATTGCTGGTTTGTTATATTTTTATTAGCCTGTTGTTTACAGTGACAGTGATGTTTCAACGCAGCATAACTGCTAGTTCACGACCGTAAGTTTTGAATAATCAGTGGCAAAATATATCTTTGTAAAACTTGTTTTCATAGTTGAAAAGTTTAATCACAATTCTTGTTGTGCAATGCTAAATTTATTTATGTTGAAAGAGTGCAAATATATACATATTTTTTTAATATATATTGCACTTATACATTCTGTTTATCTTGAAAATACTTAAATAATATGTGCTATATGTTCTAAAATGGCCCTCTACTGTAAACTGACACTCTGGCTCTGAGAGAAGAGCCAGTTTGTAAAAAAAGTCTTGGTTTTGCTTGGTTAATAAATAATCAAACTCATTCAATGGCACAGCATCCTCTTTCACATTATCTCATAAACTTGATCTAATTAGTTAGTGCTGAATTATCACATCGTATCGTGATATGGGTGTGAATCGTATCGTGTTGCATCGCAATATGTCACAAATGTATCGCTAATATATCGGATCGTATTCTTTGTATCGAGATGCGTATCGGATCGGCATTATAGCTTAGATGCCCAACCCTAAAAGTTGGACTTCTTTTGATGATTGAAGAAGATATCATAAAACATACCCACTGTAAGAAATGATTGTTTGCCTCAATCCAGCTTCCACTTTAAATTGTTTTATGCTGCCTTTATCACAAAGAGTTTATTTATCACAGAGAAAAAGCTTTGTCACAGAGAGAACTGCTTTGTTGTCTCTGCACTATTTGGGATGATCACTTCTTGCGCAAACGGTGACTAATTGTAGAATGGGAATGGGTGTGGGTGTGGGGCACTAAAAACCATCTCAGACAATGGGGTGTCGAACAGCATTAACATACACAACACATCTGTGACAACAGGAGCAACTCCATTTGCATCAAGAGTACTAGTAAATAGAAACTATAAAAGGCTTGAGATTTTGAAATTCAGGGATCATTCCAACTTCACTGAAGGTACAGCCATGTACTTTGAAACTGCTATCCTATGTAATTATTCTCAGTCTCTCTCTCTCTCTCTCTCTCTCTTACTCTCTCTCTCTTGTTTGCTTGCTCCCAAGGCCGTTTTATATTCGTATTTATATAGTCAAAAATGTTGTTGTTTCGTAACATTTTTTTACGAAGTGGGTCGTTAGGCCCACGCTAAACCTGGAGGACCAGGACATACACACACACTACAGAAAATTTAACTTAAAAACACTACAACGCTAACATTGGGAGAACATGCAAACTCCACATAAAAAAATGCCAACTGAACCAGCGACTTTCTTGCTGTGAGGTGACAGCAATAACCCATTGCACCACCATGCTGCCAAATATGTTCTTACACCTAGCACAAAAATGCGTATGCGTGTGTTTAAAAACAATGAAATGAGTGAAATTGGTGTTTTCTGACTATTAATTTGAGCACTGCGTTTCCATGTGTAATGGTTAAGCTTGCATGTTAACATATAATGCTCCATTTTAATTGAAGTAGTCAGTGTTATTTACAGGTTTCAAGTCTATGCTCATTTCAGATGAGAACACTATCTCAATAATCATTCACTATTCACAGTACACATTTTAGCCAAAGCTTTGAAAAGTCTCCATGCTTACAGTGTTTATACGATTCATAAAAGATGAATCACTGTCTGAGATTTCAGTATGGATATAAAGATTACGATCACCATTTTATGGTATTATAGCAGCACACTGTGAGTGTGTATTAGCATCGTTTGTTGTTTGCTTTTGCATCTGATACTGCATTTGAACCCGGATATTGTGATGCATGACGCCAGACTTTCCAAACGGTCAGAAAAAGCAGCACAGTCTGAAAATCTTGCCACATCTTCAACTTTTGCATGATGCATATTTCAGTACAATTGTATTTAATTACTACCCTGCATTTTCCATGTGAATTTAATATGTACATCTCTCTATGCTACTAATTTGTTTAGATTAATCATTAGGCAAGCATTGAACAAGCATTAAATAAGCCTTTTTCTAAGAGCTTATAACCTGAGCAGTGCATTCTTTAAAGAGTATGTCATAAGTAAGTTGATGCATTTAAGCTAGATGCAAATGAAATGGACTAACATGTCCGTCTAGCACTTTACAAACAAATGCAAAAGTAGTGTAGAGGAAAGCAAAATGAATTTGCATGCCACACAGCTATCTCATATTTAAGCTGGTCAGCAGAAAAGCATGATTTGAAAGTGACGTCTGACTGAGTTGATGGTCCATTATATATAGACAGTTAATAACAATGTGCTCTTTCATACACAAAATGCTGCTGATATTTTGCCAAAAATTACCTCTAGTTTGGAGGCTAGGTAAATTAGGCTTCTACTGTTCATTTGATTACATTTAGAAGTCAACAACACAACAAAAACTAGACTCTCAGACAGTGACCAGCAGCAAATAAATAGCACAAGAAACCACTCTGATATAAGAAATAATAATCCCACTATTTCAAAGACACACAACTAATACAAACAAACTAGAGCAGCCTCAAGCCATATCAGTGCATTTCATAACAGGCATCGACTCTTCTAGATTGTAGCTAATGAATGTTTAACCCTTGTGCACGGTTTAAATTTACTACCCTTTTGTTGTGTTAGGGATGAAAACATCCACTGAACTAAACTGCTGTAAAAGTGCATTAGATAAATATATATTATTTCCAATTTATTATTTTTTTTGCATAACTCTGTTTATCAACCTCAGTCCCAATCAAAACTAATAAATGTTTAGAAAATGACAGCATTTTAACTGTTTAATTGCCAAATTAAAAAATGATGTTACTGATTTGGTGAAAACAAAACGCATAAAATTACGTATTTTCAATATAAAAAGTAATTGTGAACTGGATTTTGTTTTACCTTTTATCACGATAAGCGATAAGTAAAAACATTGGCTTTCATGCATTTTTAGATTTTTATTTTTTCTTCTTAATTTATTGTTGTTGGTGATGGTTTTTGCAACATTGACTTATAACCACATTTGATGGTGCATGAATTCAGTCTTTGTTTTTGTTTACTTCATGTAGTCCTGAGAGCTTAGATGCACATTTTGATTTTCTCAGACACAACAAGGTAAGTGTGCAAAGGTCACTCTCTCACAGACTCACAGACACACAAACACTTTAATTTGTTATTTAAATGTGGTTCTAATGAAAGCCAATGGGGCAAAAACAGCCACCAACAGTAAATAAGGGAGAAAATTTTTTAATTAATAAAAAACAATGCATCAAAGGCAACATTGTTGCCCATGCCCAAGACTTTGATAAAAGGTTAAAAAAAAAAATACAGTCCACATGTCCACATCCTTTTGTGCGTTTTTTTCATCAAATTAGTGACATTATTTATAAATTTGCCAATTAAACAATTAAAATCTCAATTTAGTAGTTTTGATCCAGACTGAGGTTGATTAACAGGTTTGTGCAAAAAAAAGTTTATATAAATATATATATATATATATATATATATATATATATATATATATATATATATATATATATATATATATGATGTATTTTACAGCAGTTTATTTCAGTGCATAGTTTAATCTCTAACATAAAAAATGGTAGTACATTTGCCCAGAGTGTATCTTTGAGGGTTTTTTTTTATTCAAAGCATTTTCTCAAAATATGTATCAAAATAAGATTTCTCACCAAAAATCATTCTGCTAGCTGAAACAAAGAAAAAGTTATAACTAAATAAAATAAAAACAAAAGAAAAAAACATTATAATAAAGTAAATTAAAAGGCTATTTCCCACTATGCATTTAGGATAAATAAAAGTGAATGGATAACATCATTCCCTAACAGCAACTTCATTTCTTAGTATCACTAACTAAACACCAAAACTCTGTAAATCGTTAACAAAGGAAGTGTGTGCATCATGCTCTTCTCCCAAGCTCCGTAGATTGTCCCAAAGTGAGACCAACAGAGATGGACTGAACTTTCAACTGCCAAAAAAATGCTTAAAATGACTGGGGATAATGATTATTAATAAAGTGGTGGTCAAAGTTATGAGAATACCTCAGATAAGAAGATACCGACTTCTACTGCCTCCAAAACATGATTTCATTTTATAATGTAATAAAACGTGCAGATGGTTGCTCTGACTGAGCACAACAAATATCAGAGGTAAGTGAGTCATACTAGTTTTTTTTTTTTTTTTTTTCATTTTTAACAGTAGCATTTGATATGTCCACCGTTGTCAGCAATTACAGCATCTCTCTGGCACAGTGTCATTATATTTCCTGAGAACTTCAACACTAACGTTTCCCGTGCCTGACAATGATTACACAAGTAATTTGGCTACTTCTGTGAAGGAACATGATTGTGTGACACTTACAGTGAAATAGGCATAGTTTGTTTTTAGTAAGCAAAGCAACCTAAATCTAATTATAGTGCATATTGAAGACTTTGTTTATTAGCAAAGACCAATTCAATGAAAAATAAAAACTGTAAAATATGCTAAGGGTTCTAATAATTGAGTCCACTGTATTGTTTCGGCCCCATTTTATGTCACAGTCAATAAAAAGCCTTTTTTTTTTGCTTGTGTTTTTTTAATGTGTATAATTTAAGTTATTGATTTCAATTTGTTAAATCTATATATATTATTATATATATACACACACACACGCACACACACACATACACATTTTATATATATCTAGTTACATTAAAACCAAGCACAACATTGTTTTTCTTGAAATTCCCAATAAGTTTTTTTTGAGGTGTACCCATATAAACGGCCCACCCTGTATAATAAATCAATATTAATTTGCAGTTCCGATTTTTGGTCAACAGCATTTACAATTTTCAGCCTCAACCCAGATTTTTTATTTTAGTACATTCCTAGAGAACACACATCTCACATGGAGACAAAGCTGATTGGGATAGATGGCATTTCTAATCAAGGTGGCACATTAAGTAGAGATTGCTTTGCCATTTTGATATCTTAAAAAAACCAATGGATAGCACCATCAAAACTAAATCCAATAACCACAAAATGCTTCAGTAAAAGAAATGAGTTTATATTCCTGCTGGAGAAATGAAAGTGATTTCAACGAACTTGATTATCTTGAAAATCTGGTGCTTAAACTGAAAAAAATTATTCAAAAATATTCATAGATGATTCCTTGGATTTAAACATACTAATTAAGTTAAACATTATACTAATTATAACCCATATAAACTGTTTGCAACTATTTTGCAGACATATTTTTTCAGTGTACTGTACAAATTTTCTAGGAATGAGAACTTTATTAAACAGCACAGTCATTTAAATTTTATTTTGATAAACAGCAATCAACATTTGAAGTGGATCACCACATTTCACCAAAGTTGTCCTAAAACTATTAAACAGCACACATTTCTGTGCTAGGACAATTTTGAAAAACGTTTTTGATTCACTTCGAATGTTGAGTACTGTATGTAGCAACTGACCTCTATAGTATTTGTTTTTCCACCTATGAAAAGGCATTCTTTAAAATATCTCATATCTTCAAAAGGAAACTCATAAATGTTACAGTAGGATCCACTTGAGAGGGTGAGTATGTTTTCATTTTTGGGTGAACTTTCCATTTAAATAAATCATATGGGATAATATACAATGAGGAGACGACACAAAAACAGCTTCCATTTCCCTTAGAGTCCTCGTGCTTTGATTAAAACACTCTGTGAGGAGGAAGTTGGATTGTCATCCCCTTCAACAAGCATCTCTTTGGCCTCCCCGTGTGCATCCACAACTACAGCCTTTTTCTTCAAGTCCTCATATTGCTTCTGCCTATCAGCCATGGCGGAGCAAGCCTCAATCACTTCATCGCTTTCAAAATCATAATCGCCTTTTAACTCGGGAGCTTCCACAAGGAGCCTTCGGGCTTCATCTACCTGGGACGCTTTTTCACGGAGAGATTGCTGGTTCTCTCGGAGCTTTAAAGCCCAGTTGAGGTCTTCCTCCCAGAGAGGACGCTCAGACGGATGCAGGTGCAGCGCCACTTGGAAAGACCGTACAGCCTGGAACAAAACAGATAGGGAATAGTAAACATGTTCAAAAAGGGGAAACAGGATGCACATACAGTAGTCAACATTGATATGGATCTTAAAAGTTTTTCAAAATTGTCTTAAGACAAGATGAAAGTTGATCCCGCTTCAAATGTGGACTACTGTAGATTTAAAAGGTTTGGGGTTTGTAAAAATCTTTTAAAAATTACTATGGTATGCTCCCATTCATGTTATGCCTTATTTATATAAAGAATACAACCATTATTTACAAGTCTACATGAAATCAAAATTAACAATATGTATTTTGCTAGAGTATTGTACATTGTAATGTGAACAATTAAGCAACGCAGGTTAATAGGCTGAATAAACAAAATTGTTTGGTTTGGTCATTTTTAAATTAAAATCCAACCATTTGCTTTGACTCTGGAATGACAGTCCTCTGATGATGTCAGTTTGATGGCTTGGGTGAAATAGACACACCCCTCTAACTGTTGAGGAAATGAAAGATCAGAGGACTGTAAAATAGGAACTCTTCCCACTACTTAATATTCCATTTAAATTGGAAATACATCATGTTGATATGTCTGCCGCAACTTCCAGTTCACTTCAAATTTAATTTGTTTTATCTCTTCATTTTTAAAATGTATTAATTAATTTGTTAATTAATTTTTTTTCAGAATGTCTTCAGTGCCACATGATCATTCAGATGTCATTCTAAAATGATCTTTTCTGAAGAAATATGTCTTATTACTAATAATGCTGAATACAGCTTAACATTAATAATGATTTTTTTTGTCTGGATTTTGAGTAAGTAATAAAAAACATTCAAGATTTCTCAAACGAAAAGAAATGTCTTGCATGAATATATTTAAAGTTACGTTTGTTTATTAATGTAAAATATTCTTACAGAAGAAAGTTAAATAAAATACATAGATAGTAATATATAGATAAATGTATACAAATATAATAGAAATGATACTTTTTTATTTATAATAGTACAATAAACCTAATTTTTTAAAACAAAGTTAAGCTTCAACAGAAAAATATGCTAAATAAATAAAAATAATAAAAATAAATAAATTCTGTTCTACCCTAACCCTTCCACCAACCAAACTTAACACACATAACTTTATAAGCTTTTAATTAAACCTTTTTAATCTTACTGCAATCTCAAGGAGACAAACTAGGTTTTACTAAGAAATAAAACTGCATTTTACCGACTCTGTTGTTCTAGTGTCAAGAGCGATATCTTTAATATCAAATACTGCTTTCATCTGTGAAAGTAAAATGGAATGATCCACCATTTTTAAATCACTTTAAACAATGTGGGCCAGATGTATAAAACAGGACGCAAGACTGTAATCCTATAAAACCACTGAAGGGAGTGGAAAGTTTTGCGAGTGATCTTCAGATGCAAATGGGGTCACAGACAAGCAACGCTCATAATGATAAATTGAGTCTAATCTAAGACAGGCACAAAAATAGTGTTGTGTGAGTTTGTGTGTGTATTTGGTGTATATACCGCAAACTTTAATAAATCACCTTGGATGATTTATTGAAATATTCTTGTGTAAATTCTGTGTTAAACGGAAACTCCCAGAAATGCATTTAAATGCAATAAGGTCAGACGAAAAAATCTGCCTGTGGCTACTGAAATTACCAAAAGCAATGACAAACAGAATGCAAATGGTCTTCTCCACTGTGTTTAACTAAAATGCAACATGCATTTAATGAGAGCACATACTGTACGCTCCAAATTGAACATGAACAGATGTTTGTTCCTCATACAAACCAAATGAGCTCCTTGCTCGTTTTAGAAGATAAAAAAAGCTCTGAAGCCCACTGGAACTAATGAAAATCCACTTAAACAATGCAAATTACACAAGTAAGTCATTTCCCGTTTCATCCCCAAAACCCACTTCAAAAAAAGGTTTAAAAAGTAAAAGGCATGTGGTTTCAGCCTAATAAAACTAAATGTGGATAGATGATAAGCCTTAACAAATCACAACATCCATGCTTCCATACAATAATAGCAGCTCCAAACCACAATTTTAAGAATGCAACATCAACACATTCTTCCCTGAACTACTACATGTGTGAGATGTGTCACAGATGTATTATACACTCAATATTAAAATGATTGTCACTGAGAAAAAACAAATGGCTTTCAATGTGCAAACAGTATTACAGCTGCTTCAGCACTGAAGAGGTCATTCAGTCTATAGAGAACTTCAATACCACATGTTCATTTACTTCTGTATGAGCTCTAAAGTTCCTGCTGTGAATCAGTCACCATGTTCATGTTACCCAGGGGACAACGGCATGAAAGACAAAAAAACTATATTTACTCTCTCTTTATCCTCTTGGAAAACAATGAACTCGTAAATAGGATTTAGTGGTGCATTTTACCTTTATAATTGCCCTACTGACTCAACAATCTACAAAGTAATGATCGACTCCTTCAGCAGAAACACTAGATCATGTATCAGCCTGAGAAAAGGGGAATATCAGAGCCAGTGTGAGCCTGAAACCAAGAATCCAGCCCTTGTCAAAAAGCAAAGCTTTAATGAGGAATAAAGCTATGTGATGCTTTCAGAAGACCTTTCCTCCTCCTGATTCCTGATTGATTTAACAGAGATGACTTTAACAGTTGTGCTGAAGTCATGCTACAGATTTATTGGACCTGCACCACTGTTAGTGACTAACACAATCAACTCAAAAGTGCTGAACCCTACAAGATGTTTTTTGTCCACACAACAAAGTTAAATGACATATACATGTGTCTATAACAACAGCACCACAGTCTGTTACAGGGTGTGTACTAAATTTGTTGAAATTCACAAGTAGGTCCGTTTTGACAGAGATGAAAATCTGTGTATTACCAAAGTCCCTTTAAGCCAAGTCATTCCACTTGGTGGCCATCTTTGAAACACCTCTCATGCAGTAGCTCGGGGATTCTGTCTGAATGGGGAAACATCAAATTCTCCAAAATTGCTTGACACGTTCAGGATTAAATTTTATATTAGGAAGCACCAATAAAATTAAACAACAACTGTCTCATAAGTTTTATTTCTAAACGATTGAATGACACAAAACCTGCAGAAACTCAGATTGGACTCTGTATCAAGCCCCTTCCCTGAAGAATGGTCAGTCTATAGTGATCGACGATTGTCTCCGGTACTAGAAGGGTTGGCCTTTTCCGCCATATTGGCCGTTACACTTTTCCCCTTTCAAAATTATATGAGTGACACGTCTTGTGTTTTCTATAGTCTTTGGTATTACTCACTGTTGAAAAATTTGTAACGTTTAACATGGATTCCACGAGGCACCTCAGCCAATCATGTAACAGCATTAACAGCACGGATCAGTGTTCACAGACATAGCTGACGCAGCATTTACTACCCTTCTCTTAAAAAATAAAAATGTAATTTTTTACATATTTTACATATGATTACCCATGAACTTGTTGTTTAGTGTAAAACATGTTGAAGATTAGTGGACAGGCTTTTGATTGAATAAATGATAAGTTATTTTGTGACAAAAGCTTTTTATTTCTCTTAGTAATGCCTCTCATCCATTGACTTCCATGAAAACAAATCGCCCTCTGGGCTCCTTCCTCATATACTAGCGTTAGCATTAGCTGTTAAATCTTTTTTATTAATGATTTCTGGCTTATCTACTGGCTTTGGTTGTGATCACCGAAATAAATGCAGTTCCCCTAAACATTAGTAGTAACCATAGCAACTGCTATGAGTGACAGTTGCTGAAGCCCTAATTTCTCTGTAGTGAATGCACCTTCAACAGCTGCTACACACCGCCTAGTTACCGCAACTTAAGTTTAACTAGTTACCTCAACCTAAATGGTCTTCTTACTGAAACTTAATTTTTTAGTTACCAAAGCTTAATTTTCCTAGTTATCGCAAGCTAACATTTATATATTTTTTTCAACAAGATAGCATCGTGATTGTATGCAATTAAGCTAGCCACATACAAAACAATAGGGCTAATTTATTATTTTAAGATTTTTGATGACGGATTAACATTTATATCATACATGGCTTATTATATTCAAGTCAATGAAATAACAACTTTAATAAACAAAATTTGTTCAAAAGAATGTGGTAGTCCAGTGATTCCCTTCTCTGGCAGAGACTGCTCTATGCTTGCAAAAATGTTTTCAAACTGTATCGTTTAGTTTTTTAATATTAAGTGTAGTGTAGTTTACTTGTGGATATCTGATGACTAGTGCGCCTTTGCTAAACTACCTGTGGTAGCTTGGCAACAGAGCCGCAACGTCAACACACAGAATCTATCGGCACAGTTTAGCAAGGTTGTCCAACGGTTTGCAATCATGCCGCCCCGTTCCAGGCTCAGAGGAGAAACAACAGTAACCATACCAAACTGTTCTAATGCAAACAAAGTCAGCAAATGAGATGCTACACTTTAATTAAATTCACTGTACACTGGCCTAATATCTTCAATACATTTATTTTTAATGAAACATCCTCAAGTAATAAGCAAGACTAAACCTGATAGCTGATATATTTTGGAAGCAGTGTGAGCAAAACATGTGAACAGCAAATCTTGTGATTAGGACTACAAAAAAGATCCTGGGTATTTCCAAAAACAAGTGGAGATAATAAAGAAGTATTCAGCTTAAACCCCTCTAGAACTCATTACGTGCTCTTGTTCCTTCCTTTAAACGTGAATGAATAAACATTAAAAAAAGTTTATTTAATAAATAAATAAATAAAAACAATTGCATTATTGCTTAAAATAAACAATTATATTGGGGAAAAACTTTTTCACTTTTGCTCAAACTTTACAGAATGTTCCACTGGAAATGGAGTTTTCCAGGAACAGCATGATGTTTCAGTAAAATGTGTTCATAATGTGGTACAGTTAATAGGATATTAATCTTATTTGGGATGGAAGGAACTGCATACGATAACATTTACTTTACATCAATTACACAAAAACATGATTAAAAGCGGTACTATGAATCAGATTTGAGGGAAACCAAACAAAAACACAGACCTAATTTAAAAGAGATTACAAATTATCAGCACATTTCTAAACCTTTCAACAACTCATTAACTTAATATATTGAACTGTAATATCCAGTACATAAAACTTATCACAATTGATAATGCAGAAATTATGTTGAGTTTACGTTAAATGAACATTAATGAAGCTTGAAAAATTCTGAAAAGTATGTGAAATGAATTAAAGATATTAAAAAATAAAGAGAGGAAAAAATATGTTCATTAAAAAATAAACAGAAGCTACGTTATCCCTAGTTTTAGACATTTTGAAGAAGCTGTCAAAATGTTTTAGGCGAGACCTATCAAACAGTCAATTATAAAAGCAGCAGTTCTAAACGTGTCCCATGATCATACAAAACCCTCTGAAAAAAATACATAAACATTAATCTCAACATTCCAATCGCATCCTTAGGTTATTATTCTCTTGGTAAGTGACTTGACATGGCATGCTCAGCCCAAAATAGTAAAGTATTTAGTCAAAGTCAAGCCAGGATGTCAAGCTCGGTGTGTGCAATGAGTGTTTAGATTACAATAGACACAAGTAGTCACTAGTCGGAGAACTGCAGGATCTGCAAGGTTTTCTTTCATTATGCTTGTCTGTCTAATGCACTCAATCACACACAGGTTTGGGCAAGTAAGGTGTGGCGCTGTTCCACCTCAAGTAATCTTCCATGCTTCTGGGTTAGGATGTACTGAACTACACACTTCATCACAATGACACCTGATGTGACTGATGGATAAATGGCAGCAGACTACTCATTCACCTTTTAACTGCCTGGCAAGGACACAAGCACCATAACATGGAGGGAAGGCGGCTGAGAGATGATAGAAAAGATGCTTTGCTGTGTGGAAAGAGCTCATCAGCTAATAAATTGACTACCAAGGCCAGCTGTTCATAAAGCTGATTTAGGTGTGACCATTTCAGCTGGATTTACAACTCTGAAAAAATATTCAGGGACAAGGGTGAGACAGACCTAATTGGAACTCATGGACCATAATAGAAATACAATTGTTGTGTGTAGGAAATTAGTCTGCCTTTATCCAACCTCTACTTCATTTCACAAGTGTATTCTATCCTCCTTTCTTAACAAAGAGCTTAATTATCACAGAGAGCAGAGTACCTCAAGTGAAGTTTTTAAGTATTTAAATAATGCCTTTGGAGTTATAATTCACTTCTTGCAGCATGGGAGCGACAGTGACCCAACTAGGGTTGTAACAATATACCGGTATGACGGTTTACCACGATTTGAACGTGCACGATTATCATACCATGAACAATTGCATATCAACGGTTTTAACCCTTAAAGATCGAGACAGCCGCCCGCGGCTAAAAATAAGTATTGCTCTTAAATGTTTAATAACTTTTGATCCGCTGATCCGATTCATACAATTCAAAGATTGGCATAAAGAAGAGAATCTCAGCTTTCCAGTGCTGTATCACATAACATTCGCGGACTTTCAGAGGCTCCGGAATCAGTGCGGTTACGTCATCAACATTTGACAACGCTGATTTGACAAAGAAACGCTCGTCACTGTGTCTCCGGACAAATCAGACATGATACATTGATGCATTGTCCCTCCTCCATGCCCAGATTGCTTCAAACTCGCTATATCACAACCAATAAGCATAGGTTTCGCTTTTGTTTGTGGACCAAGCTTTTTGAACAACACGGAATGAGAGATTGAGAATGAGAAAGTTTGGATGAAATAATTCTCATACTAAGTACTTTTGCATGCACAGCAGCACAGAAACATGACAAAACAGTGACACAGCAAAGACGAACTGCTGCTCTTGCTGTTTTCAAAAGACGCAAATGAAGATGCAGCTGTTTGTCTGCATTGCAGACAACCATATCCAAATCCATATCGATAGACAACCATATCCATGCTGGCACATAAAACCTAAGGATGTTCCATATTGAATCTAGTTTCGTTATGTAACTATTTATAGTATAGTAAATATTTATATCTATTTTTTACTGAGGATTTGCACCATGTTTATTTGGACTTTATTTGGACTTTGACACATTATTTATTATTTTCTTATTTTTATTTGTTCATTGTAAGTGGTGTTGTTTATAGGAACTAAAAATATATTATTTGGAAAAAGTCAAATTTGCTTCACTGTTCTATTATTTTGTAACATTTGTAACATACCGTATACCGCGAAACCGTCAAACCGTGGTATTGTTTTAGACGATTATCATACCGTGAAAAATTCATACCGTTACAACCCTAGACCCAACACAAACCATATGCTGACCAAAAAGAAATTCTGTTCAACCTCATTTACCATAACAGTTGGTGTTTCCACTTAAAGGTCTACCAAAGATTTGGGAACAGTATCACTTTTATTGTTATTCTCAATTTACAATCAAAGTGAAACCTTATTAACATATTGGGCAGGTCTACTGAAAGGTCTGGGATTGATATCCCTTCGTTTGCATTCAAAGCAAAACCTTATTAACAAGTTAAGCGGGAAGAAACAGAATAAAACAGGGCTGTCCAAACTCGGACCTGGGGGGTCGGTGTCCTGCAGATTTTAGCTCCAACTTGCCTCAACACACATGCAAGGATGTTTCTTTAAAGCCTAGTAAGAGCTTCATTAGCTAGGCCAGGTGTGACTGATTGGGGTTGGAACTAAACTTGTGCCAGGACGCGGGCCCTCCAGGACTGAGTTTAGGCACCCCTGGTATAAAATCTTTAAACTGAGGATGATCAGGATTCATTCCAAGTAACTACACTGAATCCGACGTACTCTTCATTTTGTTACTACTATTCTGGAATAAAACGTTTTTTTTTTTCCGCAAGACGTCCTCATCTTTTTATCTTACGGTTGCATATTAATGTACAATACAATAATAACAGTTTAGTTTCATAGATTTTCAACAAGTGAAATGCCCAAAAAAGTAGCAATGTGTTTTATTGGCTTGTGTTAGGCTGAAATGAATTTTTACTTTTCCGATTTTGAGTTAATTTCGATAAAGTTAATTGTAAGTTTGAGATTTGCTGGACATTGACCTATGTGGCTCTATGGACTAAAAAGTTATCAACAATAAATAAATGACTTTTTAGAAGGCTGTAGCAAATACTGAATATCATGCTGAATATGAGTTTTTCCCAATAACGTAATTTTTGCACACAGTGCACAATTATTATAGACAAACCATGTACTGTAAGTATTTTTTCACATTCTAAAGGTTTTAGTTCATTCTTACTGGTCTATGTATAATATCTTGTCAAAACACCATCCTAAAGATGTTATTTTAGAAAGAAAAAAAACATTGCTTCAATTCACATACATGTCATTTTGCATTTCTAAGCTTTTTTAGACTGACTTAATTACTAATATATCCCATTAAATGTATAAAGTTCACTAAAATTTTCATTTTAATTAGGAACACAAGTGCTGCTAAAAATTGAGAACCCATTGACAAAGTACTACTTTTGCAAACATAACTTGGTACAAAATGACAGTTAATGTTGCTGTAGTTTCTATGATTTATATAATAGGAGCTGGTAATATTTGGGTGGTATTTAACCATTTACTTATAATTCGATCACTATATAAAATCTACTTACTAGTTCCACTTCTCCAAGACTTAGCTGAGCACGGCCCAGGGTTTGCCACGCCTCCCACCAAATGGGGCGGAGTCTGGTGGCCATCTCTGCAGACTGCACTGCCAGAAACACCTCTCCAAGGGTGATCAACACCTAAGGATTACATATCAAAAGATTAAAGATCCAGATTTTTTTCAGTTCTTTCATAGGAATATACATACTACATGACATGAATCATATGCTTGCTAAATATTAACAGGGAAAAGTGGTGTCAAATGATGAATTATTAAGCATCACAAACTACCTGACTTTCTATTCATTCTGAACTTGCACATTGTTGCAAGGAGACACATTAAATGCTTTTTACATTTTTGTAAGATTAAAAAATTTAGGAACAATATGATCTAAAAATGGTTCAAATGAAAATATCAAACATGGTTGATCCTCAGGCTTAAGCAGAAATCTGTAAAAAACATTTTCAATAAAATAATGATTAACAAAGTTTAACTACCAATACAATATTATCTTAATATGAAGAGATTTGTCTGAAATTAATATTTTTATTTATTGCATTTGTATGGTTTTGAATTTAGAGTTGTTCAAACAATTATTTTTTGTATCACACATACTCTTCTGTTTGCACAAAAGTTAAGCTGTTCAAACACTAAATTTGCTTTGGTTTGGACACTAGACATGGTGTGTGAACTCTACTAAAGTGAACAAATGAAAACTAAATAAAAATGTTATTAAAAAAAATAAAAACACTAAACTAAAACTAACAAAACTAATAAGGAAACAAACCAAAATCTAAATTGGACTGTATACTGCAAATTTAAAAAAAAGTATATATAAAAAAGAAACTATAATAACCTTGGTTTTGTCAGATTGCGTTTAACACAAAGAGAACCTTAGTCTTACTATTCAACTGAAGAAAACTAAAAAAAAAACAGGTATTTTATTTCTTCTACTGAGCCCAAAAGAGAAGAAGAGGGAAGAATATAATAGACAAATACAAGCTGGGTTGCATCTGCATAACAATGAAAGGTTCCATATTTCTTAAAAGAGGTGATAATTAAACAAATGATCAACAAATAGACTAAACCACAACATTCTTTAAATATAGAATAACATGTTAAAGTATCAGAGTTTTGGTCTGATCTCTTAGATTTGATTAAAAACCTCTTCAATACTGTTAGATTAATGAATTTCATGGTTTTAGAATGACATGAGGGTAAGAAAATAATGACAGAATTTTCATTTTGGCCTGAACTGACCCCACAAAGGTATGATTGGGTGTGATTTATTCAATACAGAAGAACAAACAAAAAACGCCTCTTCAAATAATCGGTATTCTTGAAGTAACACATGGTTAATGAGCCTTCAAGTTTGACCTACAAATTGAGCAACTCCGTCCATATTTACTCAGTTACATCAACTCCCAAGTTGTGGTCATTTATTTGACATTTTATTTTAAACAGCAATAAAGTGTTATCGCAAAGTAGTATCCACTCAGGTCATAAGAGCAAAACAACATGAGGGAGTGAATACTGCACTACGTGGACACAGCATAGATCGAGCATCACAGACGTTTTCATTATGGCGCTTTATTTACTTTAAAGCCTTTAAAGTCAGGTCAGCATAATAATTAAAGTAAATAGCAGCTTTATACAATGAAGGTGTTGCCGGAGTAACAGCAGTTGAAGGACAAAGCTAGACTGTAATTTTGCCAGCAGGTTTGCTTTTTAGAAATGTTAAATTCACAAGTTCAGATGAGCATCGCTGCCTGAACAGGTGTGGAAAATAAACTTTATGCAAAGTCTATAAGACCAGCGCTGGCCAACTGCTCCAATACGATCAAGTTACTAATGAGAGACACTCAATCATTCTCTTCTCAGTGTATTCAGGTGACTCTCCTCATACAATCATCCAGCCAGGGAAAGGTCACTGGTTTAGTTTATAAGAAGGGCAAAACGAGGACAGCCAGATCTTGTAATTGCGACCAGCATTGACCGATGCTCTGCTCAAGTACTTCTGGGAAATTCCCACTCAGAAGTTCGGAAGTCATAATAACATTATGTACGTTCCAGGGATTTTTTTTTTCAATTAAAATGGACTGACTAGACAATTTCATGTTGGCAGTAAGCTGTTAGAGCAGGTGTAAATCAATATAAATAAAAGCAAAAACTGCACATTAGGTGTACAGTACAACAGCAAATGAATTTAAAGGTAATGCCAACCTTGAGAGAAATATGCCATATATATAACTTTACTGTGTTGTTTACTTTTGACTCGATGAACACACAATTTACATCTTATTAGTTAGTACGAGTTGCAGAGGTTGAGTTTAATAATTGGAAAAAGATTATAAAAAATCATAATAAAATGCAAATAAACAAGCTAATATTCAATAGTCAATAATTAATAATAACAACAATAACAACAACAAAAATAATAATAATAATTATCTATGCAACAAATGCACACATATTTTCACAATTAATTAATCTGTTTGAACATCTCCAATAAGGCAATAACAAATTTCACAGTACAGTAACAAATGGTCTGCTCCTTGCTGCGTATGGTGGCTGCCTATCAATTATGATTCTTCTTGACCTTAGTGCGGCCTTTGACACGGTGGATCACTTCATTTTACTTTCACAGATGAAAGCAGTATTTGGTATAACAGATTTCGCTCTTGACACCAGAACAACTGAGGCAGTCATTTTGAGAGTTTTTAATTTTTGCACTTTAAAAGCTTTGTTGAAATAAATCACAGATAGCTCTTATTCCCTGACTAAATATGTGTATATTTCCTTCTAATGTTGTAATTTGATTAAAATGACAAAACACAAAAGTGTTATGATTATGTCTACCTAGAACTACCAACTAGAACTACAGCTTAAATAAAGCTGAGTGTGGAATCATGGGAGTTGTCATACTCATTAAATGACTCGTGCAAAAATCATGTTCAAAACTCAATATTAAAAACTTTTCATGGTTGTGGATGGCGCAGTAGGTAGTGCTGTCGCCTCACAGCAAGAAGGTCGCTGGTTCGAGCCTCGGCTGGGTGACGGTGTTTCTGTGTGGAGTTTGCATGTTCTCACTGCGTTCACGTGGGTTTCCTCCGGATGCTCCGGTTTCCCCCACAGCCAAAAGACATGTGGTACAGGTGAATTGGGTAGGCTAAATTGTCCGAAGTGTATGAGTGTGAATGGATGTTTCCCAGAGATGGGTTGCAGCTGGAAGGGCATCCACTGCGTAAACATTTACTGGATAAGTTGGCGGTTCAATCAGCTGTGGTGACACCGGATTAATAAAGGGACTAAGCTGAAAAGAAAGTGAATGAATGAATGAATGAATGAATGAATGAATGAATGAATGACAATCCATGTAAGGGAAAAAGCCATAAAAGCAAAATCAATCTGCCTAAACAATTGCAAGCAGCAGAGCTTTTATTATGCCACAATCAACCACTTCCAGTTATTCTATTCATGGTATTTAGTTCTGTTATAATGCTGCTCTGTGCAGTCTACTAAAAATTTTAAAAGTCTAAATTGCTTATTCTGTGGTCTGTTAAAATTCTTGACTGTTATTGGCTAGAGGGAGTGCATTAAATTCATTGAAATGCTTCAGTGCAAGTCAATGATTATCCCTTACTTATTGGAATTTAACATTCTTTGAAACATTTAGGATAATGTATGTACATACATCTGCAAAACAAGACTGTTCTAATGGCTTTCTGACTTATCTTACATATTAGGGCTGTAACACCATGATTTTTTTTTTGTCAATTTCTTCTGACTTCCCCTTTTTAGGAAAAAAACTATTTCCAGATGTACTTTGTATTTCACATATACTATTTGATTACGGTTTTATCATGTTTTTTTAGTTTACACCCACACACAGTGTTACACCTCAGAATGAGAGTGCTTGATGAGGCCGCTTTTGCTTTGATGAAAAATGTAATCAGGAAATCAATCATTTGAAAGGTGCAAATATTCCAACTTGTCATTTCACACATACTCATCTGTGCCATGAAAAATAACACTGCAATAGACATGGAGACATCAAAGACTGGACACTTTGCCAAAGATAAGATGAAGAGCAACGAAAGAATAGTTTTAAAAACTGTGCAATGATAGAGTGAAAAAACAACGTAACAAAAAAAGAGGAAGTACAGGGAGGAGTAAGACGAAAATAAAGTGTAGTTGGAGACGAATAAAAAAAGTTTACAAAAAGTGTGCGTGTGTGTGTGTACGGGCACGTACACAAACATTCTCATGAAGATATGACCAAGAATTTGTCATTCAGCAAATTCAAACAACTTCGACATTCAGGTGATGCAACCGATGTCAATTCTTGAGAAATTCTTGTTTACATTGCATATAGCAAAGAAATAATGAATTTCTAGTCTAAATCAGTCTCTTATCTAAATAGACAAGTAAAAAAAAACTACTATACAGGGTTACATAACTATTGAGAGTGAAATCCACTTCCAAATACAGTAGTCAAATACATGAAAATGATAATCAGAAACACCAAAATATCTGCAGACGACATTCCATCTTGACTTGCCTTTGACAGAGTGTTACAAATTACTATCTTTCCTCTCTGCTTTTCGTAGCCCCTGCACCACATAAAAGTGGTCAACACAAACTTTAGCACCTCTCTTAATATATAGTGTCAGGTCCTGAAAGCATAATCTTGCCATCTACTACATTGTCCACACTTATTGCTTATAACTACACCGTTAAGCCATCAATCACTGACTCCATTATTTCGATTTGGTCTATTAAAGGAATGGTTACTGTAAGAGACTTTGCAACATTCCCTCAGCTGAAACAGAAATTCTATGTTTTTTTGTTGTTGTTGTTTCTACAGCTGAAAAATTGTTCGTACATCTATCTCCCACTGAACATGATATATTTATATTACTTTCTGCCTCTCCTGAAGCCTCTAATTTGATTTCCCACTTTAAAGATGTTTTTACTGGTCAGTTTGACATATCTACCTTGTGTTTGATAAGACTCCTGGGAGATAGATTTGGGCATTCAGATTACAAATGAGGACTGGATAAAGTCTATCAAGGTCACATGTTCTATTAACTCAAGACACCAACTAATCCAATATAAAGTAGTACATCGGCTTCATTTCGGTTAAGCTTTACCAATTCTACACCTCCATCTCCTCTAACTGTAACAAATGTGATTCTGCGGAGGTCTCCTATAGGGATATCTTTTTTGGATTCTACTCTAAGGCTTATTCTTGTGACCTCGTCCCTGATCCAGCAATCACTGTTTTTGGTTGGTCTGAATCACTTCTTGTCTTCAGTCATCAAAAAATGATCCAATATGGTATGGTGGTAGCAAAAAAACAATCTTTGTCTATGGAAAAATTAACACTTTTTAAATCCTGACTTTCTGAATTCCCTAGCACTTTACATTTAGAGAGACTAAGACACAATCTTTCTGATAGCATTTCTGGCTTCAAAGCCACCTGGAAACCCTTTTTTAATGATCTGTCAAATATCAAAAATCAACAGTTTAAACGTATGGCCCTGTCATTGTTTGCAAGATCACCCTATTACCTGTGCCCACTGAATTAGAAATATGTGCAACACTGCTAACCTATGTAGAAAACTGGAGGAACTGATGCGATAATGGTTTTAAAAACATTTTTCTGTCTTTTGTCTTTTTTTTTGTTTTGTTTGCCTTTTATTTTCTCTCTTTTTAGTTGTTGATGCTTTTTGTAATGCTCTGTGTTGCTTTAAGATAAATAAAAATATAACATATATAAATATAAAATATAAAAATATAAAAAAAGAAACACCAAAACTCTTGGCCAGATTCTTAAAGCAGACTCTTATCTTGACTGTCAGAACTAAAGCCGAGATGAGATCATGGGAGTCGATAATGGACATGTGAGAGTGAAAAAAAGACAGGATATTAAAGGTAAGATGAGCGAATGGGTTGGAAAAAGAAGGAGACAAAAAGACATCTGCAGATTGAAATGAATAGGCATCTTTGGCTTATCAAAGTCGGAAACCTCCACTGCTTTGATAACTCTGCCATGATAACAATAAAATGATCTGAAATTATTCCAAAATTGAACAGTGATTGTCTGTGAGGATTATATAAATGTTGTGAGCATGTAAAAATAGACATATATACTGTTAGGGTTTGATTTGTACAAAAGCAGACACTTGTGAATGCTGTAGAACTGAAGAGTGCAAACTCAGTATCACAGGATCATACATGCTGGTGTATTGGTTCTTTTCCAGTATGGGAGGCTGTTGGGCATGTCCAGAGTGAGTTTAGATTGAGTAACTTATAATTCTATGCTGGCTTAAACTAAGAAAGGTTTCATCAATCATCTGAACTGGTTCATCCAGTCCCCTAAAAAAAAAGGTTCAGAAGAAAGATTTGTTTGTGAAGCATGACTTCAACTTGGACCAAAGCACTGAGGCTGTGTGGATTACAGGTAATAATGATGAAACTATTATTTACTTTTTTACACTGACAGCATTTCGCTACCTCAATGAATCATCAAAGTCATCAAAATCATGGGTATTACTTTTGCTTTTCCTGCAAAGGTTTTCATTTTATTTACATTTTTGGGGGGACTTTCAAAGTGCTGGAAGCCAATAACTTCTATTTTATGGATCACCATGAACCACACTTTCAGCTAAAAATCTTTTTTAATTTTCCTACTCAACAATATGCAATTTGTTTATATACAAATAAATACGTCTCTTACATTTCGGATTAAAATGATCAGCAAATTTGCCTAGGGTAAACTATTACTTTCAGATATTTGCGTTATCCAAACTAGCCAAATTTTAGATATTCCAAGATATTAAAAAGCTCAATTTTAACTTTTGATAGCTAACTGCAAAAATGACTAGTGACATGTATTCTCACACAGTTTGACTCTTAGAAGACTCCCACACTGAAAGCTATATTGAATCTAATCAGACCCCACATGTTCTCATTAAATGCCCAACACAATGTAATTCACCTTAGTTTTAGCATAATGATATATGAAGATATTGGATCATCAGATCTTTAATATATTCTTAAATGTGTAATATATAGCCTAGAACAGTGAACACATTTCAACAGTGCGCGTACAATGTTACTGTTTAAAAATAATACTTCAGCTCGTCAATGCTAAATGCTGCCTGGAGGGTCGTCAAACTGCTTTTATTTCCCCTGTACATTACAGGGTCTTAAAACTGTCATTCATTATCGTAAAACAGGTTTACTATTCATTACTAGTTGCAAACATATTAATGTGATCTATAATGTTGATCTTTGCTGAAACAACCCACCATCCGAGTTTGTTGTGGCATTATTTTAAACAACATTCAACATTCAACAGAGGGGGAGGCAAATTCTTTGGTGCACTGTTGATGTTTTAAATAAAAAATGTCTATCTTTCAAAGTGTCTATTCATTTGTAGACTTGTTTTCTGAATGTTACAATATAAAATGGCTTTGTAGACAAATATGAAGTTTGCCTATAAGTGTTATGAGGAAAATCTAAAAGTAATGCATTTGTAACATTTTTCTATAAGTGCCTGCTTAATTTTATAATTTCTGAACAAAAAAAATGAAGACACCAGCATATTTTATAATGACTTCTTAAGAAATCTTTGGTGCATCCAAAAACTGTCATCATTTACTTATTGTTGTTTTTTCAATCTTTTTTTGAACACAAAGGAGGATATTTCGAAAAATTAAAAAAAACCGTAACCTCTGACTTCCATAGAATTTGTTTTCCGAGTATGGATGTTAATGGTTACCAGTTTCCAACATTCTTCAAAATGTTTTCTTTTGTGTTCAGCAGAAAAATATTACTTTTTGTTGCATGAACTGTCCATTTAAATATAGCTACTAAAAATTTTGCGAAACAACAGTTTACCTACTTTTATCAGACATATTTACAAGATTCATTTGATGACCTAAAACACTCAAATCATGTGTAATTTTGTTTTACTTTATATCCTTTAAACAACACATTAGCCATTTAAAAAAATAATAACATCGAGTATGATCACATATTTTTTTATATATTTTAAGAGAAAAGATTATGTATGTATATAAATATATATGGCAGACTGTTAAGCAGACACTTGCATTTAACATGCCTTCTGTATAAAGTTCATGCCATAAATTTAATTTGATGATTTAACTTAAGTTAAACCTTGTATAGATGTATGTACACGCACTTAAATAAAAAATGTTCCTTCACGATAGCCTGTTTATAACATTTAATTGTGCGGGACATATGTTTTCACAAATAGGCAATTGGTAGACAGATGGCTACATTATATATATATATATATATAAGGACTTCAGCTCTAATTCCAAGTAAATGTGACTCATGAACTGCTGGATTAAAGACATTCTGTAATAACCCTTTTCGATCACCACTGTGCTCTTAAGCAAGACACTTAAACCCAGTGGGGCATTCCCTACACTAACACACAGGAAAGCATCTGCTTAATAGCACTGTTAATTTATGCTGATGTAGGCATCATTCTCAGGACTGCTATTTAAAATCTGCAGTGTTCTCGAGGATTAATAAATCCATCCAGAGTGAAGGAGAGGTACAGTATGTCCATAGTGTTCTGTCTGTGAGATACAGTTTGTGCGGTACCCGCACACAACTGGATGAAAGGAGAAGGAAATAAAAAAAAACCTAATGTCAAAATGTTCTGTTAAAAAGCCACAGATAAGGAGTGAGTTTGCAGAGTGAAACTTGGGGAGGAGGAACTGAAAATAGCAGTCAGTGAGAAAGGCAGAGGAGAGGCAAAGTGTGTGTCAGCACAACAGCTGGGTGTCTCTACATCTGCAGGATACTCCACTATTGCAGACTTGCCACTTACATTAACATCAATTTAACACTGTCTGTGAACTTAAGTGACTTTCTGTTTTCACCTGGGACTTCATCTCATACAACACGGCATCCTCTGGTGTGAGCTGAACTGCCTCGTCCCACTTCTTCAATGCCTCCCAGTTCCTACAGCAAGCACACACGAAGAAAAAAAATTATTTAAAAGATCAACACTGCACATAAGAACTACAGTTTGTTCATATTCACACACAGGAAACACACATAAACACATGTATCATACTTCATACATGTAATCCCTGGAAGCAGCAGGTCACTTCATTCGTTTAAACCCTGAAATCAATCTGCAATTACAGCTCATAGCTACAGTATAGAGCATGCATAAATCTGTTATAATAAAAGGAAAATAAGTATGTATATATTTTACTAAAACTCAAACAAAAAGTTTATCTGTTACACTATGGATTAAAGCTAATAATGCTGCAAATAATGATCCGTTTCACTTCATATGACACTAGTATATATATTTTTTCTTTTTGACCCTAAAACTGCTGGAAGCCCTTGGCTTTTTATGAATCACTTAGTTCCCAGTTTCAACTTAAAATCATCTTTAATGTTTTACTAAAAAAAGGGAAGGGGGTGGACAACATCTTTGATGGCCTAGTGTGTAAATAAAAAGCATTTTTCATTTTTTGGTGAACAACCACTTAAACTGTGACAATATTTGGCGTCTTTTTTTCATGTTTTTTTTTTTTAATTATTCTGTTCATCAAAGCAGGATTTATTAAATGTGAAAATTTGCAAAAAATATTTATTAAAATACAATTTGTACTGTATTTTTTGTTGTTGTTGTTGTTAAACAAATGCATCTTTGGTGGGCAGGATAAGCTTATTTTAAAACATTTAAAAAATTCTACTGACCCCAAACCTTTGATCGGGAATGTGTGTGTGTGTGTGTGTGTGTATACACTGTAAAACCCCAAAAGTTAAGGTAACTCAAACCATTTGAGGAAACCGATTGCAGCAAACCATTTAAGTTCAAAAATCTAATCCTAATGAGTACTGTGAACTTAATCCATTTGAATAAATGAAGCAATTTGAGCACAGTAAAACCATATAAATCAAGAAAAATCAAACTAACTGAGTCCTGTAAAACCTAATAAGTTAAGGCAACTCAAACTGTTTGAGGAAACCATTAAAAAACTAATCTATACGAGTACTGTGAACTTAATTCATTTAAGTTGACATAATGAGGTATTTAATTAACTCATTACCTTCAACACTGAGTTCAAAACTCTTTTTAAAGGAGTAGAATTAACTTTTAGTCAATGTTGAGTTAACTGCACTCATTTCATTTGATAAAGTTGACTGTTGGGTTTTACAATATATATAGAGAGAGAGTAGAGATACCCATAGATGAATTTGCTTTTCAGTGTTTGGACTCTCAGTAATGATTTTAAACCACACTGAACTGCATGAGCTAAACTGAACTGAACTGAAACATTAAAAACTGAACTACTCTGTTCCAATTGCTATGACCATTTATGTGAAGCTGCTTAAGCTTAAGCTGAATTGAATATATATATATATATATAGAATCAGAATTTTTTTCAACACATTTGTAAACATAATAACTTTAATAACTCATTTCTAATAACTGATTTATTTCATCTTTGCCATGATGACAGTACATAAAACATATCCTGGATAAGTCGGCGGTTCATTCAACTGTGGTGACCCCGGTTTAATAAAGGGACTAAGCTGAAAAGAAAATGAATGAATGAATGAATGATGACAGCACATTATATTTACTAGATATTTTTCAAGACACTTCTACAGCTTAAAGTGACATTTAAAGACTAAACTAGGTTAATTAGGTTAACTAGGCAGGTTAGGGTAATTTGGCAAGTCATTGTTTAACAATGGTTTGTTTTGTAGACTATGGAAAAAATAACACTTAAAGAGGATAATAATTTTGACCTCAAAACTTACAAAATATTATAAATGTGTTTTAATATCTCGTCAAAGAAAAACTTATGTTTTTTTTTTTTACTACAAATGACCACTACTAAAAGGAGAACATAATCTCTTATAACTGCAGTACAATTTAGAGCTGTTTGCCTTTAACCTTTAGATAAATATTACAGATGCTTACGTCATAAAAAAATAAATGTTATAGTACACAAAGGAATGTTCTTGGGGAAAAGGGGAAATGAGTCATAACTTTTCCTAAAATAAAACCCTAAAACCGAATAAAAGAAGCAAAAGAACAACCAGACAGTTTTTAGAATCTTAGCATGTTTTTAGTATTATGTATATAATTTTGTAAACAATCAGGCTGGGTTTGAGGAAGCAAACACCTGACCAGTGTTATCAAGTCAGCTTTCCTTTTCTCTGCTTGTTTTGAATTCCTGGTTAACTAAAATAAACTGTGTAAATAACAGATCAGCAGTTTGCAAGTAAATTTTGTGCCTGGACGATTTTGTCAAAAAATACAGCTTTCTGAGAAAACCAAAGCAATTACTGCACCTGCGTCATTAATGGTTAAAGTGTGAGGTTCAAATTTCAAAATCCGTCACTTTTGAAAATGCTTGTCATAAAGGTCAGACATTGTTAACATATTAATATACTAAAATAAAGAATTTTTAGACTTTCCAACATCCTGTAATTTTTCACAAAATGAACTCCCTGTATTAACCCAGAAATGACGCTAGTGCTGCTGAACATACAGCTGTGCAAGTACAACATGCCGTTTTTTTTTTTTCTCTGGGAGTCCATAAAAACATCCAGCTTCTTAAACTGTGCCATATATGTGTTTATCATGCTAATAATACGCAGGGATGACTTTTTAAGACATGTGGTAATTGATCTGATAAGGGCTATGAAGGAATGTATCAAATTACCCTCCAGGAAAGGACAGGAAATAAAGCAAAGTCATTTGAGAAGAATTTACTAGATGTTTTTCAGGTACGTGATTGTGAAACACGTCATAAGCTTTGGAAAGAGAAAAAGTACATAGTGTTACTGTACCTGCAAAAGTAGGCGTAGGTATGAGCAACGGTGCAACGTCCTGTCACACTTCAAAGCTGATTAGGCAAATTAGTATGTCTATAAATAAACCGCAAATTGATACTACATGGCGAACCATATGTATTTGTATAAATAATTTGAACAGTGCCATTCAATATATTGAACAAAATTGTGTGGGCACAAAGGTCAGCCAGCTGTCATTTTAAATGAGACAAACACAATCTCTAAAAGTATGCTTGTGCAGGCATGTGTGAAAATATCTTGCCATTTTCAATTGCCTAAAAAAATACATGTACAGTATGGCATGTGAGAAAATGTGTTTGGGTGTGGTTTTTGTGAAACCACAAATGTTTTGTATGACGGCTCACATAAAGAAAGTACTTACTTAAAACAAGAAAAATGAGTCTCAGAAATAATCTGAGAATGCTGTTCATAAATGAATCCCACATTTAATAAGAGTCTACATGATATTTTAGCATCTGCCCTGTATCCGTGTTAGACAGCAACACAATAAATTACACACACTCAAACACAACACTGAACTGGATGTTCTCAAACTCAGTCCTGGAGGTCTGATGTCCAGCAGATTTTAGTTACAACTTACCTCAACACACCTGCAAGGATGTTTCTAGATAGACTAGTAAGAGCTAGATTAGCTATCCCAGGTGTGTTTGATTGGGGTTGGAACTAAACTTTGCAGGACACCAGCTCTCCAAAACCAATATTGAGAACCCCCCAATCTGTAGTGTTGCAGCAGCAAATGTAACCCGGTTGAGCTTGAAGTCTGATGACTGCTTGACTATTAGCACCATTCAGTTCTAAAAATGTTGGAATGTGACCCAAAGGTGATTTTTTTTAACTGGCATATGACACATATGCCATCTGGTTTTGGTTATGGTTTATGGATGTCACCTTCGAATCTGACACCTTAATCTCAGATCTAGACCTTTTTTTATGAGCAATAGTAATTGAATAATCAGATTTCTTGTCATGTGACTTCATTGTGAACACTTGTCCAACTGCTCGTTAATGCAAATGTCTAATCAGCCAATTACATGGCAGCAACTCAATGCATTTAGGCATGGTCAAGATGAGCTGCTGCAGTACAAACTGAGCATCAGATTGGAGAAGAAAGGTAATATAAGTGATTCTGAACATGGCATGGTTATTGATGTCAGACGGGCTGGTCTGAGTATTTCAGAAATTGCTGATCTACTGGGATTTTCACGCACAACCATCTTTAGGTTTTAAAGAGAATGGTCCAAAAAAAGAAAAATTATCCAGTTGGGTTGAAACGATAGACGATGCCATCGTCCATCGCCAATGGCCAATAGACGGCATCGCCGATCCTCCGTCCCGCCCCCGTCGCAAAAAATACACACTCAGGCTCAGTTTACACTGACGTCTTAGTGTTAAAATGACATTTTAGAACGAAAATGATCCACATCCACACTGTGTTTTACCTAGCATTTCTGAAAAGCCCTCCGTCCTCTGAAAACGCACATCATGTGACCACAGACACAGCCACACACTGTCATGCACTCCTCTGAGCTCCAGAGATCAGTGCACGTCGGACAGTTCATCAAGGATGTACCGCTGGATCGTGTCTCACTATAGTTTTTAATTGTGATATTCAGACATCCCATGTATCCCGAAAGTTCAGGGAGTCTCTATGCATTTGAACTATGAACTATGAAATCGTGCATCTTCCTCATGGTCCTCAAATAAGTCTCGCACCCTTCTCACCCCCAGATCCCTCCTCGCTCTTCAGACACGTAGCACGCACTCTGTCAAACACCGCCCTGCTTTTCACATGATGACGATGCCATCGTCCATCGCGATGTTTCACTTTAGTTATCGTACAATGCCAAATTGGTCGACATCGCCCAACCCTATTATTCCAGCGAGCGGTAGTTCTGTGAGCGAAAATGCCTTGTTGATGCCAGAGGTCAGAGGAAAATGGCCATAGGCTTGAGCTGATAGAAAGGTAACAGTAACTGAAGTAACCACTCAATACAACAGAGTGCAGAAGAGCATATCTGAATGCACAACACGTCCAACCTTGAGGCGGATGGGCTACAGCTGCAGAAGACCACATTGGGTGCCACTCCTGTCAGCTAAAAACAGGAAACTGAGGC